AGGAGGTAGCAGCTCCTCGCATTAATGACCAGGCCGTACGCCGGAAGTCTAGAGCATTGCCATCTATTGACGACTAAGAATCTTTCTTTCCACCCGAGATTCACCACATTTGAATTGTGAGTAGAATACTTATATGGTAGGTCCTGCCTCCCGGGAGCCTAAATCGTTCCTGATTCCCACCTATCAATTTCCTACCGTAAAAGCCTACACCAAGTCATCCTGCATTCCGAGCTCAGACAGATTGCCACAAGATATATCTTATGACACATATAAGACAGTCAAGCATTCTCTTCCATCTCTCAGCTTTCTATTCAAGTCACCCACCAGGCCAATTCCACACGCACCAAGCCTTAATCAGCTCCTCTTAACCGAACATTTCAATGTGAGTATGCCCGCCTCCACTATTTACTACACGACTTGGTGAGTTAATACTAACGTAACGGATAGATGTTTCTCCTCAATCTTCCCGTTGAAATGCTTCTTTGCATAGCGGAGAGCCTGGATCAAGCCAGAGATTTGTTTGCGCTGGCTTGTCTCAATCATGCAGCGAATGACCTTTTCCTCGACTATCTGTACAAGTTCAACGTCCGACACCAACGCAGCTCTGCCTTATTTTGGGGAGTTCGCCGAGGCAAATCGAAATTTGTAAAAATGATGTTGGACGACTACGGAGCGGACGCCAACACCACGGACGATAGATCTCGCACACCAATTTTTCATGCAATGCGCACTAAGAACGAGACAATTATTCGCACGCTTCTTGTCGACAAGAGAGCGGATATCGATTGGCAAGATCAGCGCAGGCAGACCCCACTCGTATATGCCATTGAAAGGAATCTTCTGTCTACTGCATCACTTTTACTGGATTTTAATCCATGTCTGAATATAACGGACGTCAAGAACCGGTCTGCTATTTGGTACGCTGTCGCGTCCTGCGATGAGAATCTGGTACAAGTCCTTCTTGAACGGGGCAGCGATATACGAACGCCAGATTACAAACAATTTTCACCATTCAGCCTTGCCATTGCCCGGAAGACCCCGAGAATTGCCCGGCTGTTACTCCTTCATTCAGATTCCAATTCAAGAAAGACCCTACTGGAGGATGTCACTATCAGAAACCGTCTGCTCCGTCAGGCTGTACAGGCAAGCCTTCATGATGTCATCGCCCTACTCCTTGCCCATGGCGCAGATCCCAATTCTAGAAATAGAGATGGTCAGAGATTGTTGCATCAAGCAACGAAAAAAGGTGACAGGGAGGTAGTCCAACAATTGCTCGCCTATGAAGAGGTTTCCATCAATGCAACGGACAGACAGTCCTGCACTGCTCTCCACGTCGCAGCAGAGTATGGATGCACGTCGGTAGCCAAGTGTCTGCTAGCCAAATGCGGTATAGGTTCCAACGCAAGAGACAGTTACGGTCGCACCGCATTCCACATCGCAGCAGAGTATGGCAATAAGTCGATCACAGGGCTTCTTTTAGCATATGGTGCTGTGGATATCAACGCCCGAGATGTTAATGGGGCAACAGCACTCTGCTTAGCTGCAGATGCAAAACACACAGCTATAGCCCTACAGATCCTCGCAGAAGATCATGTAGACGTCAACGTGGCCGGTCAAACTGGCAGGACAGCTCTTCACAATGCGGCGAGCACGGGAAACATACCGATGGCATGTGTCCTTCTCGCCAAGGAGGATCTAGATCCTAACGTTCGCGACGACCAGGGATGGCCCCCCTGACCTATGCTGCTTTCAATGGTGACCTACGCATGGTGGAACTCTTCCTTGCAAGGGGAGACATACATGTGAACGTGCAACAGGCCCCGCCACTGTTCCATGCCGCCAAAAAGGGTCATGTGGAAGTTGTACGCCGATTACTTGAATTTGATACCATCGACGTCAATCAGCAATTTTGGAACAGCTCGCCTCTCTGTGTTGCCTCCGAGATGGGCCACCCGGAAGTTATAAGGTTACTCCTTGAACACACAACACCCCCAGACATCAATCTCAAAACTTATATGGGAGACACTGCACTTTCCTTGGCCGCTTACGATGGTAATTTGGCTATTATAAATCTCTTGCTGGAGGAAAATGGGCTGGATGTTACCGCTACTGACAGATTCGGGGACACGGCGTTATGCAAAGCAGCTCGGAATGGACACGAACAGGTTGTCAAGCGTCTCTACAGGGACACTCGTGCAAAATGTGCTAGTAATGTGAAAAGGGCCATTGAAGCAGCTTCCAACTGTAGAATTGCGCTCTACCTTGAAGGTCACTTGGATGAGGAGGGCAACTTTCGCACCTGGCCTTGAACTAAAGGTAGGCTGTGATTACTTTGTTGGATTCATCTTTCAGAATCTGGGCTCCAACAAATCATGTAATTCACGCACATCTCCCCCAAATATGATTATCAACGCGCCCGACACTATTTCCATCTCTTCGTTCTCTTACTTCTACAATAGTAGCTCGCTTGTACCTATAACCACCCTCCAATGTGCGGAGTTGGGTCAATCTTCTCCTTGAATTACGCTATCGGTAAATCAGGGTTATTGCACAGGCGGTGATAGGTTAAGGTTAGGGTGGCGTGGCAGGCGGTACTTTCATTGATAATGGGTTAACTCGCAGAATATTTTGGCTTTTTAAATGGAAATTGTAGGCACAACTGGCGGGTGATCTAACATTGAGTCGCTCACAGATGAGCCGATCAGAAAAAAAATGAGCTTGTCATTGCGGATTGAATATATCCCACAAAGCCTCAATTTAAGAGGGCCATGAAGGATTCAACAGTCAGCTAACATTTCTTGACCGACTCAGCATCCCTTCTCTTCAACATGGCTCTTGCTAGTTTCTCACTGAAGCTCCAAAAGCATCAAAAGCGTTGCTGTAATTAGTTGCGGGAAAAGAACATGGCTTTCAACAGCCCTCAACAGGAATAGGTTTCCTTCAACATTTCCTATCCAGCTTGCAAGTGACAGAAGCCGAGAAGCCTATAAATATGTCCTCTGCCCTCGGCAATTTCCTCTACGATCAATTCACTTTACTCTGCAAAGTCAAGCAGTCACTTGATAAGTTCTGGCCTCTACTTCCACTGTACTAACATCTATCATACATCGTGGACCTGAAACAAGGCCTGTGGGAAGACCTGATTTCCAGCAACTTTAACGTGCCGATAAAATTTTGCTACATGCCGAACTCTGCTAGCGCGTAGATTGAAATCAGTCACAAACCTCAGCCTCTACACTCACTAGGAATTATTCTGCTTCCATTCCACCTATCCAAGTTGGTCAATTTCCCCCCTCCTCCGCCTTCATAATTAGCAATGCTTTATATTAGAATATGAGGACCTGTGAAATTGACGCCAAAAATGGCCACTTTTCACGCCAGAAACTGCTGCCTTTCCACCCGTAACTTTGGATGTCCAGCCGCCCTTTGACCGCCCACTGCCCCTTAACAGCACTATTCTGCACCCGCCCAGCACTGTTAGTCATCCTATGTCTGCCTTGTCCTCTACCGTACCATGACCGGATACCACAACTTCTTTGACTGATTTGAAGCCGAAGGTTGCGTTCATGTATCAAACCAAGCTTGATGATGTTCCCAGAATCTGTCCGTAATGGAGGAAAGAGTCCGGTGAAGCAAGGAGAGAAGGAGGATAGTAAGTTCTAGTTCTCCGGTTTCGCCCGAGGGCTCTGAATGGAGCGGAGGTGGTCCTTGCGAGCAGGCTGAAATAATTTCTTGTCAGAGACCTGGAGGTACGAGAGTATTATGAAATGCACGGACCTGCGCTTTAGGTGAGGAAGGATCTGAAATAGATTCCCAGGAAATGAAAATTTCAACGGCAATAAGCACGTGGAATAAAATATTTGCAATTAGTGAGTAACCAATTGGCTGTCTTGGAAACCCGACAATAAAATGGTCTAGTGATTTAAACGAAGTGGCGTAAGCGATGTTTGTGGAAGTGGAGAATGCCAGCCGAATGATCACCGAGACAGGCGGTTCCATTGTCCCTGCATCGCATTGAAGTAAGCTTTGGTTGCGGGGTCCATATACTGTAATTGAACTACCACTTTTCATACATTCCTTGTCTTGTGCCATGAGCTGAGACTTAATTTGGGATTTTGCTCGACATTGAGTTTCTCTATGATTGGATCATAATCTAGAGAGTAAATCCGCTAGCTTGCTGAAATTTACCAATTTTCTAAAAAATCTGTTAGCCTCTTCTTTTAGTGGGCTTTTAGCGGGGATCTAGGGTCCCGGTTAGAACCCAGAAATCGGGGGCCAAAGCCGGTCCCGCCCTTCCCGACCCTGATAGTGCTCTGTATTTACTTTGCTTCGCTTTAGCTTACGTATGCATCAGAAAACAGGGTACCGTATGCGGCATAAGTCGTAATACAGGCCTCTCCGTAAATACCGAACTGCGATCGAAAGTTGATAGCAATGACAGATATCTAGATTTCCTAATTAAAAAAATGAAGTGAAGTTCGATTTTTCCTAAACTCCCGTAATACGTAATACCGTATTTCAGCAATATGATTCAGCTATATATATCCGTAGATACGTACCGCACCGGCCCCTATACACGTCCAATGTTGCAATCTCTAGCAAATAGTAAACCTACCTCTTGTGGCTTTTTTTTTTTTTAAAAAAAAAAAAAATAACCCAAAAAAGTACAAAGGGGAATCTCAATATACCCAGGTACGCACTATGCCCCTGCGTGCCTAGACACTCTGATATATTACTAGGTATTTCACGGTCCAAAATACTCCTGAGTATGGCAGCATTTAGAAACCATTGCGCCAATAGGGGTACTCCGTCTTCCTTCTTCGCTGTCTTGATCTTATAATATAGCTTCTTACTCTATTATATACATAATGTTAGGATTGAAAGTCTTTAAACTGGCCTCTAGATTAGAAGTAAGGCAAGAGTAGAAGTTAAGCGAGATCCAGGTCAGAGTTAAATAAATGCAGCCGTACCCCAGGTTATATACATGATGCGCTAAAAGCTCACCAATAGTCCCAATGGACTCGTTCGTCTTCAACCCATAGAGCCGCTAGATGCTTCTTCTGGCCCCCGCCAAAATCATGAGCTGGGTCGTATTTGAAGAGATTCTTTCCAAGGGTCTTTTCTGGATCAAAGAGAAGGGCCTGACTATCTGTCGCCTGGTACGGGATGTTTGTCCAGCGTGACCCATCTTGCAGCGTTGGTACAATTTCGCCGACGGTAGTCCGGATTTGCTCATTCCGCACAGAGTAGCCGACATCATCCGCAGATTCTTTCGAGGTCTGGGCTGGGTATATGAGGTAAGCCCGGATCGTGTCGTCTTCAATGCGGGCCGCATTTAGTCTGGGGTGATATCTTCCTCCGTTTCTCAAAACGTCAATGACGGTGTATTGGAACAGTTGGTCATTTGTGGTGTGATCGCCCGTCCGCCAGAAGGGGTCAGGTTCGAAAGAAACATTTTCAAAATAATGGGCAGCATACACCCCTGTTCGGCTGATGATATACAGCGTCGTGCAGCCGGACAGGCCGTCCGTTCCCGTGCTCCACTGTAATCCTGCACGTAACCTGCTCCATTGCGCGGGCCATGCATTGCTCAGATACTGTGAAACACTCGCTTTATCGCGTGGGATAAGCTTTTTGTCACAAGCGGAAGCTGTGATACATAGAAGGCAGCCATACTGTCCCCGGGTAGCACCATCCTTTTACTCAGGGCCGTGACATTGCGATCAAAGTAGATGAACCCTACACTGCGCTTACTGGTATTCTCAGGAGCCAGGTTAGGCCCGCACACAGGTCGACCAGATCGCTTAACAATACTTGAGGTGTTCGTCTCCAATACCTGGCCATCTGACCCATCTGATATAATGTCAGCATTGTCACGAACTACAGCATTCTTGCGTTTAAAGGGGAGTTGGTATACCGGTGATGAGTGCAGTTGCAGAGATTGCAAAGGCCAGCCATACTAGGAGAGATAGCAGCCTCATCATAGATAAAAATATGTAATCGGGTCACTGGCAGAAGGTCCTGGGTGGGCACGTAAGACGATGTGTTCGTTGGGATGGTGACAAAAGTGGTTTTCAAAATTCGGTTGCCAAAATGGTTCAACTTATAGTGACTGTAAATTACACAGGCCGGATATACTTCTGCAATGAGCAGAGACTTCCTTGGGCTTGTCTCTGTTTAGGGCCCAGTATGGCGGAAAAAGATAATAATAACTAGGATAATGAGTGACTAGTACTAGCGTTCTTGGATATGCTACCGAAGGATGAGTATTATCAGGCGTCGGCATAGTCCGGCACCGGGCGCTCTCCACCTAGGCAACTTTCGGAACGAGACTAAGGTCGCTAATATTTCTTGTAACCAGTTATCATATACAGTACCGTATGGAACTACAACCTTCCGATAAACTCTGTATTCTTGGAGTCGATAATATTTATGATGGGGCTTTTACGCTATACGTGATGTCTGAAAAGACTGGAAAATCCTAGAAACCATCGCGCCAACAGGGGTATTTTTCGCGGGTAAAAAGTCAGTCAGCCGCATTAACCTATATTTTTCCTTCGCAAGTGACAAATGAAGCGTATAAATATCATCTAGCAATCATCTCACTATTACATTTACCTGTGAAATCATATATAAAATACACAGATTCTCTCAAGGACTACAAAGTATATACAGAGTGAGTAAGCTATATCAAGATGAAGCCAACGAGAGAAGGCGGAGTACACCAGTTAAATGGTGCCATAAAACTCGTAGTAAAGGTGTTTTACTGCGCGGATATTGAGGGGTAGTTGGTTTATGTAGCCCAGGACCAGAAATACCATAGTGGACGTGAATTAATGCATAGTCTATGTGACTTCCAATTTGTAGAAAAGTCATCCAGCATGAAGTAGCCTAGTTCCAGGATAAATATAGGACCCCTGGCTCCTTGTGAAAGTCAAAGCACACCAAGCAGCATCATATTGTTATCAATAGTTTGCACCCGCCATGTGGCCTACCCGTATATCTATTCAGACCCCAGGATATCAAGCATAGCCTGCTTCGCAGGACTTTCTGACCTCTCAGCAAGTTGCAAGGGGGACTCGTCATGGTGTGGCGTGCCCGCTGGTCGAGCAGTGCGGTCCGCGCCTGCGTCTAGCAGCACTTTGATGATATCCGTCAGGCCAAGAGCAATAGCGCGGTGTAGAGGAGTGCCCAATATCTCATGTGTTGTATTGGGATCGAGGCCATTAGCTAAAAGAAACTTGGTCGTGAATTCCATTTCCCTCACGCGCCGATCTATAACTCTAAAGAGGAGATGTGATTCTAGCTTGGCTCCATAGGCAAGAAGTAGCTCAACCATAGATAGATCTTCTCCACTGACGCTCTTAAGGGCACGGGCGAGGGGGACTCTCCAGTCGCGAAGGGGAACCTGGCCCTGGGGCTGCAACAGTTTGGGTCAGCGCCTCGCAAGAGAAATTCGCGGGCGGATGCAGGGTTTCGTAGAATGCTGTAACTAGAAGTCAGCTCTGAATATTTGGCTCTCAAGTGGGCACTTTACCATAGAAAAGGTTCGCCGTTGGATAGGGACGAATTAGGGTCAAGGCCATGGTCAAAGAACTGGCGAATGATGCCTGGCATCTGAGGTTGTGTCCCAGTGAGCCAGTCCTTCGCAGAAATTGCACGAGCGCCGGCGTCAAACAGAATGGACACAACATCAGGGTGTGCTTCCCGCGCGGCGCGTTCCAGTCCCTCGTCGAGGTTCTCAGTACTTAATCGCCCGCTGGAGATGGCTTCTTGTGTGCTTGAAAGATCTCCGGAGGCGCATGCGTTGAGGAACGCCCTAATAAATGCCTCGTCAGGTTCCATGATACAGGGGATCAAAAGGATTGTAGCTGAAATATAGTTTTGAGGACAAAAGTCAAGACCTGTATAAGAGAGGAAGTGAGCGTTCCAAGGTCGCCACATCCAGAACTAGTAATTCAACCACGTGACGATACATGTGCGGTAATTTACGGTAATTTACGGTAATTTACGCAAGTATAATATAGAGCGCCAAGATCTTCGGCTGTACTCGATGTCTGAGCGATTTCTGGGATCTCTGCTTGGTTTAATTAAAATATTCGGGTCAGAATTACAGCAGTCTGAAATCGGGAACATCCGAAAAGTTCAGTGACTCGGATGGGGCGGTTTGCATGGTCAGCACCTACTTTCGACCAGTGACACTAGCTTGGGGGCCATAAATCTCTTCCACGGCTATTACTAGATCCATTCGGACCCTAAGTGTCTTAAATTTCTACGCGAGGCACTAAAGTAAATCGCCTTCCTCGGATTATGGTACGTTTCCTTTCTAGTGTTTGCGCCAAACGGACTTGACTGCGGTAGGGTGGATACTCAAATTCCGCGATCCTTCAATATTTGCTTGACTGGAATTTGCCGATATCCCGTGCTTGAATCTCTCTCTGGCTCCCGGTCAGCTGGTTGTTGATATTTAGGGCGGATTGCCACCGGAACTAAGCATCGTGGCAAGGGTCCGGGCGAACTTAACTGTTTACGGAAACGGGATAATAGAGAGTACGCAGCTGCAATACTATATAATTAATGTACTATTTCCAGTCTATCGAGCATGGCCAAGCCTGGTGAGTTTCTCGAAGGAAGCGAAAGCCACAACCCTCTCCATTAGACGCAATGATGCCTCGAATGTTCTTTCCCCCTTCTCTCATCCTCTTCTCTGTACTTGCTCAGCTGCACTCTGCGAATGGGAGTGGTGATTACTTTGTGGTGGGCGACCTGGGCCAGTATACCACAAATGGAGTATGTAACACTTATCATTGTCTTTTAATGCCTGCAAACCCCGTCCAGACAAAGCGGCTAACGCTGTTATCTAGGTCCCTACCCCGACTCTGTCAGGATCTGTGATTGAAGTTTCTGCATTGGGTAGTCCAACAGAGGATGGCATCTTGTTGTACCTGTCTCCAGACATGCAGTCTAGCCTGAAGTCTACCATGGATAGCAGCTGCGACACACAAATTGATTCCCGGTGCTACACAGCTGTGATGAACTTCCTCGAAGACGCCAACAATGTCATTGAATCCCACAATGCGAACAAACGTGAATTACAAGAGCGGAACGGGGGGCTTCTGGGAGCTGGCGCTATGTTAATTGCTGGATTGTTGTTTCCCCTCATATATGAGGGAGACCATGTGGTCCCAGTGCCCATAAAAATCCCCGCAGAGCAACTCGAAGAGTCCTTTGAACTCGAAACCGCTACTGCCATTATCATTGTGACTGATGATAGCACACAGTCAATGACAGTAACAGCACCTCCAGAACAGAATAAGGCGACTGGGTAAGCTAACAATTCCACCTCTTCCTTTACTCACTATCCCGTTCTGCCCCGCGCGACTGAGCTGATATTTTCTTGGTTAAGCTCCCCAGCCACAATTACGACCTTTGCAAGTGCCGGTAATGGCGGGAGTAAAGGGGACGTCAATATTAAACTAGATGCAGCAGTGGCAGCGCATCTTCAAAAGTTGCTATCCAGCTCGGATAACAGCAACTGCGATGTCGGCGACGACTTTTTCAAAAAACTCCAATCTCGTGCGCTCGACTTGAGCAACGTGATATGTGGCGCCCAGAACATTCTAGCCGACGGAATCGACCGGGGCGGATTCCCCGACTGGCTCCTCATGAAGCCGACAGGGCTGCCATGGACCAGCGCCGAGGTGGTAGCAGCTGTGAACACCGTGGCGCAATGGGCACTCACCCAGGCTACCTTTCTGAACCCAACTATCACCCAAACTCAGCTCAACGGCTTGGCTGTCGGAGCCTTCGCCCTGTCTTGGGTCTATTTCAACAACGGTGCCATCAAGCCAGACAACATAATTCCCTCGGCATCGTTACAAGGCGATCCCAGCATCACCTCCTGCACGCAACAGACGGCCACAGAATGCGGTGTAGGGTGTACTGTATTCCCGTTCGGGCCCCGCTTCATGTGCACTACAGACTGCTCGACGGTCACAAGCTGCAACGCAAGAACACTTACTCAACGACTGCGACGTATACCCAGACGGCCGAAGACTCTGTACCGACCGATTCTTCGGATGGAAACGGGCAGCAGGTTGCGGTGGCGTCATACATCAATCCGCTCGGAGACCCGTCCGCCTGGGAGCACCTGATCGATGATTATCCTTCTGACAAGATGCCCATCTTAATTGCCAATGTCGTCAATGGTCCAGATTCTACTGTTAACGATGACTGGACTAATGTTATTAAGCGAGCTTCAGCTTCCGGTAAAACAGTCCTTGGCTATGTGCGAACGGGATACCTTGGCGTGAGCGATCAGAAATTCTTAACCCGGCTAGGTTCCGGCGACTTGGCGGATTGGACGGCCCAGATCGAGCAAGATATCGATATGTGGTACACGCTTTATGGTAGCGACATTGGCGGCATCTTTTTCGACGAGGGTTGGCCTGAATGCGGTGACAACGATAAATATGTCGATCTATATAAGTACATAAACGACTATACGAAGCGTACCCACCCTGGTGCTTACACAATCCTGAATCCCGGGTCTCCTATGGCTTCTTGTTTCGAGGATAGCATGGACACACTGCTAACTTTCGAACTGAGCTATGACGCGTACGTCAACTCCTACACACCTAACGATTGGATACCAAAGGATCCACGGAAACTATGGCATATCATTTACAACGTGCCAGACTCCGCGATTGATGAGGTAATTACACTATCTAAGAAGCGCGGAGCTGGCTTTATTCAACTCACAGATGATCTTTTGCCCAATCCATACGACAATTTGCCTGCCGATTCCTATATAAAGAAGATTTTGGATGCAGTCGATGGCGGCGCTCTCTTGAACGAAGATGCGTCATCCTGGCAATCTGGAATTTCGGCCGGGGCGGTTTCTGGACTGACAGTTGTGACCTCAGAATATACTTCTGCTCAGTTGTCTTGGTACCCGGCCTCAGGTGCTCTTGGATATCACGTGTATTCAGGAAATACTGTTGTCGCAAGCGTTCCAAACACAATGACTCAGATCACACTTGGCAGTCTCACACCAGGAGCTAGCCATGACTTCCACGTAAGTGCCGTGGGAGGAGGTGGTGATTTGGGATCCTCCTCCAGTACAGTAACCGTTGTCACCGACTCTTTACCAAACGGGAAGACTGTCACCAACTGGCACTCCACTCCTCAAGAAGGCTCGACTATCATCAAGGCTGACATTCTTGTTCCTTACGCTTTCGTCCGCCTCTATCTCTGGGACTCGGTGGGATGTGACTTCGACACCGATCCGGGATGGAGTGTCAATTTTGAAGTCGACAAATACGTCTGTACCCACTACATGGTCGAGGGAACGACGATATACAAATATAGTGGCACACTTCCTAAAGGCTCCACCGCTCCACCTTGGGCTTGGACGTCGATGTCGACAATCACACTTGATATCACGGACTACACTTACACGTGGACATTACCCCTGGGAACTTTGACTACCGACACGAGCAAATTCGTGATTCAGACACAAGGCTACAATGTCCAGGGAAACTTTGTCGAGCCGGATGCTAGCGACTATGATTGCGAGGGCTCGACTATGTGCTCGACCCCGGATATGTTGAAATGGTGCGACCATGCCGTTAATTACCTTCACCGAGACGACGACCCCTTTTACAATACCAAGTAAGTTGACTAAACCAGTCTCTTTGTATTCCGCATCTTGCCCCATTGGCATGCGAATATTTCTTTCACGCTCTTTTGCTTGATCTCATTACTAATTTTAACTCTCTAGTGGTGCGGCCAGTCAAACTAGAAACTGCTGGGGTGATCAGACCCGAGGCTGCGGTGTCTTTGTCCAGGGTACAAACTGCAGTATCAGTGGCAATGATATGTGGAATGACTACCAAAACATCCGCAAAATTGGTGGATGCAACAAATGTGGCACGTACCACAGGGGGAATGGCTGTTTGGTTACTATTGACTATGTCTACCAATGTAACAACCATGACTAGGCTAAGGTGACGGACTGAAGGGGACTCTGGCCTTGGGTCTGGGTTGGACATCTTGCTCTAAGGGGCATTGTAAAAAAATTATATTAAATCAGATTAGTACATTTCGCATTTCACCAGGGGCTCTGTCCGAAAAGATGCGGAGAAACATTGATAGCTCTCAGAGGTGCGGAAATTTTGGCAGCCCATAATCACTAGATTCACATATGGCCAAGTGGAGAACCATGTCAATAAGTGTGCTCTGTTGACTGAAAAAAGGGCCAAGATAAAGACATCTTAGGTTCGAAAGTTGTGCTAAAAGGAGAGCAACAAAAGCATTCGTGTTACCACTGCGTATCTCCTGTGTCCAAGCTTACTAAATGGAACTGTTGTCCCCGGGATGGACGCAATGTGCTCGTCTATTTCGACGCCAGAAACTGGGATTAAATGGATTGGTCCCTGATTCTTACCTTCCGCGATGTATTCGCCGTCAAAGTGAATGCTTGTGACATAAGTGGCCAACTGAAGCCTGCATACTGTAGTATCTGATGGAGTGATGCTGTTCTTCCCCACAATCATGCCGATGAAAAGGAGAGTGTTGTTAGCAAGCCAGGAGACCCTATGCCACGTAGCTCCTAGGATATACATGGCAATTCGTAGGTTGGTGATTTCACTTCTTAAGACAATTCGATATACACGTGACTTTATTTGGCATTTTGTAATTGAGGTTTTGGGCTTCTTTTCTCTTTCTTGAGAGTAAACATGTTTGGCCTTATTCACGGCTTATATTAGGTATGCGCAGAAATCCTGGCCTTGCCTTCACTTAAACAAACTTGGACAAAGCATAATCTTTCATCTGAAAGCAAAGAAGGCCAAGGTTTGAGCGTCATAAAAGACTAATGGTTGATTCGTTCGGGGCAAAGACTATTCAAGAGCTATTTTCTGATGCAAAGCAAGCAACCCAGCAAAATTGTTGAATCATCAATTGAGAGCACCATGGCCTACTAATTTGAGGGATATCACTTTTCAGTCGCAGTGACGTAATAATATGATGTTGCGACCAGAGACTTCATGACAAGGTCTAAAGAGGTATGCAGAAACAAAGGTTTGAGCTATAAAACCCATTCGCCCCCTCGTTTTTCCACTGTACTTTCCATAATTCGCCAAAATCACACACAATGATGAAACGCAATCGGGACAAACACAGCCGACCTCCCACCGTTTGGATTGATGAATCGACTTTCCACCAAACCCAACTCACTTCAAAATCAACTGCCACGGCCAAATCCCCCGGATACAAGGATTCCACACCTCAACCAGGACCCATGGGATGCTTTCGAACCCGTTGCTGCATTGCAAGATCGGTCTCTAGTATTTGCCCGACATAGGGCAAATAGAGGAACGTTGGTTCATATTCAGCAACTGGAACAACAGATGGCTCCCGCTGCAGCCTTACTAGAACTGATGGGACATATTTGCCATCCCAGCTTTCCAAAACTGCTTCAATATTACCACCATGACACATCATCTATGTTGGTGTGGGAGCCAACTGAAGTGTCAGTCGATCACATTCTAGCCTCCAGCTGCTCGATCACCGCTGATGAGATTGTTAGCGTTGTCAGACCGGTATGTCAAACAATGCTTTGGGATCATTCCCCACTAATCCAGAAAAGGTATTAGAAGGCATTCAATATCTACGCGAGCTCGGAAGAGCACTCGCTACCCTGGGCCCGGATACGATCCTGCTTACACAGTCTGGTGATGTCAAGATTAGTGAGATACCCCCTGGCCTAGTGGATATCGTTCGATAGGAGACTGACGCTCACTAGGGGGCGCTGAGAGTAGCTGTCAAATCAGTCAATCGGAAATGAATTCCGCTACGATGAAATTATGCGCTCTAGCCGATATCGTCACCAAGTTGATGTTAAAGAATCGGACCTACGAGTGGGAACAGGAGATCCGAAATTTACCTCGGCAGCTGGAAAGTGTCTCCATTGAGGAACTATTGCAAGTAGGTTCATCCCGATGCACATCATGACATCAGCTAATGTGACAGAATGAGACGTTCACCCGAACGTCCAGCGAAGGGGAGTTGAAGTTGTTGGTCAGTATAGCGAACAAGACTGCATATCACGGTATCAAAACTTACTATGCTCGTTGTTGAGCTACAACGCACTGAATCGGGGCTGGCTCTTTGCGTGGAGGCATCACATTTCGAGAAAAGGACGCGATTCTGTGTTTCCTGCTGGCTGGTTGATGAAAGATACCAAAGAAAAAGGTAGCACACGTTATAGCAGGAGATGGCCTGTTCCGGCATACTGACTTTTGGAATTGTTTCACAGATTCCCACTCAATAATTGTTTTGTTTTCTGTTCCTCATCAGGTATTTAGTTTGTATGCCTAATCCCTGTCATGCTTCGTTCACTAGAATCAGATTGATGTAGCACGTGCAGTCTATTCGCTTGATTTAATTTCGAACACAATCGACCCGCTATAATCTGTTTACTGCATGGCGGTAAAAGCTCACCGCTCACCAAGCTCATTTACAGGGCTAAGTGTCATGACAAACACAGCAGCTAGGATGTGGCACTGTAGCGATACAGTGGTATCATATCTACATATGGCGTCCTGGTCATTGACTCGAGAGTGGCCATTTGTACAATTCGCAGTCCATACGGGTTTGTCCTTTTACGGTCAATTTCTGCTGTCGCCGGTAACTTATCAATACTTACGGGATAAGAAGGCGAATGTCTACATATTCTCTGGCAGTGCTACCATCTACTCTGGCGAGTAACACAGCAGAAAATGCAAGCAACTCTATGGGCGTGTTCTCGGACGACTTTGATGGCGACTCATTCACCTGTGAAGGGCGCGCATTTTACGTACATCTCACAATTGCCGACACGGTTAAATCAAGCCCAGACCAAGGCGCAATTCCGGGCTGAGGTTCGGACAGCTAACGGCCAATGGAGTGGAACTTCTTTTCTTATCGCCAATGTGCATTTGAAATCGAGGTTACTTGAACTGTTGAGACCGCTTAGGATTTTTGTCATCACAAAAGTACCGGCCAGCTTAATTCCGTTGTTCCTCCTGCTCAAAATAGTGCTGCGGAAGTTCACGATGCGTTATTTGCCACGGGCCTGTTTGATTGCATTGTTTAAATGAGCGATAAAAACCTTGAAGTTGACGGAAACGAAGTGGAAGACCTCGATCAACATGGTTGCGATGATTCACCGTTCCTTGCATGGTGTGGCATGAGATCAACGACGAAGCGGATAGAAATGGCTTTCTGCGACAAGAACAAAGCTACTAATCTACTGTTCTTGCCCTACGTTCCCTTAAGAATGCAGAGCTGCTATGCGACCCCATTGATCTTTAAGTCACTACTACAAAACTCGAAAATCGGATGTCGGTCTGATTTTTCCTCGACTCAACACTGCTCTCGGTAAAAAAGATAACCCCAATTATGGCCACTCAACCAAAACCGAAATCAAACCCAACAGACGCGGTTAATCAAAAAGCGCGCAGGCGAAGAAACACGCTTTTCAAAAAAGTCTCTGAGTACACCACGGAATGCGATGCCGACATTCATCTCATTCTTCGCATGAAGAAATCTGGGAAGATATATGTTCTGACGTCAAACTCAACAAATTGGCCTCTCTCTGACAACCAGTTAGTAAGTTCCTCTTTATCATCGATGTTGTCGCTATGAAGATATTAACTCGATCTTAAGATATCGTATCACCCTACACCAATCCTGAAGGTTCTAGATGGCCCAGAGTCCAAATCGTGAGACTTTGTCATGTTATCAATAAATTTCACCTTCAATTTGAATGTTCTTCGTCAGGATACCTCGCGAATTCTCAGTCGACCATCTTGCAACTATGATTATTCCCGAAATGTTTCTTTTGTTTGATTCTTTCTATTTGCTATGAGAAACGGTTGATCTCCCACGGATTTCTCTTGCACTATGGCTTCACTTCGAAAAAGGGACTGTCTGGGGTACATCCCAAATAAGCACAGGTTTCTCCAAGCAACCGCGTTATTGCTGCTTTGGCCAGATTTTGAAGTTCCATGTAGATGTGGTATAGCAATGTACGATAGAGTTGGTCCATGGATTGCGTGATATGAAAGTACAGGTTGACGAAAGGACGTGCAATAAGTTCCCCGTCTCACATAATAAAAGCTGTGACAATCAGTACTCTTTAGTATTTCGCATTTGCTCTCTCCTACCATATAAGAATGCTGTTCATTGGATCTAGTGCCCATGCACTAGTAGACAGAATAGCATTACAGGGCCATAGCCGGGCAGCTAGGCCAGACTACATCCGGTCGGATGAACCGGAAGGATAATGCCAAATATCGTTTGACGCCAAAACTGGGTGTGAAGAGAACAATTATTGTTTCAAATTTCCTGTCTCCACTTTTTCACAGTCTTGTATATTACTTTTTTATTTCACCCCGTTCTCCATGTCTCTCACTGACCTATCGCTCCGACGTATGGATATCGACCACATTTCACCTATCAAGCGCAGAGTCGCATTGCCTCCAAAATATTCACCAGTTACATCGTCTGGAAAGACTTCAAATCAAGCGTCACGGCCGAGCTGTCGCTAGCTAGCTAGCACGGTTATGTCTGATCATCCATGTCCACCACCAGCCCGCAGCAAGCTGCTCAGTCCTTAGCAAGTTCAACGAGACCCAGCCTGCATTCTTGGCAGGATGCTTAGACATCGAATTTGGGCGAGAATTCAGATAGACTCAGTTCCAGTGACGGCAGAGATTCCGATGATCCAGTCGGACCGGTGCTTGAATGGCTCTCGGGGAATGTTTCTGAGTACGAACTGTCTTTGGAGGGAATGATCTTCTTCCCGGACAAATAGCTCTTCGCCCCGTGGTACCTATGGACCAAGTTTGGCAATTTGAAACGGCGCTGTATCTTTTCATAAGTCGACGCAGATTGCATTGTCCTCTCTGGTTCCGCAGATGACCGTGGAAGGTTTCGATCAAAGTGATTCAGATCA